TCCTCCCGCCCACTCATCCTCCTCTCCTCCTCCTCCTCCTCCTCCTCCTCCTCCTCCTCCTCCTCCTCCTCCTCGAGGCTTCCGATCGGTGGCAGCCTGCGCGCTGCCGGCGGGCAAACCACCCCCATCGGCCCACGCGCTCGCCGGCCCGTCCAGGCAGAAGCCGGACCGCGGGCTGCCCACGGCGCTCCGCGCCGACGCCTCGAGCAGGATATTCAACTGCAGAGCTGATCTGCCCCAGCGTTTTTTCGTCGAATCTACAACCGAAACTCGTAGGATGCTCGTGCAGTAGGAGTCCGACCACAAGAAACCTTCCACAAGAAACCCAACCCCGAAACCCAGGACGTCCATCGATTTTTGGTGTGGGCACGTCACGCTTCCCATCGCAAAACCATCGAACCCCAGGAAATCCAGGGCACCCTGGAAGCAAGCAGGCAGGATGCTTCTTGGCAGGGGCCCCCACTGTACGGACATCCTGCGTTGTGGTTTCAGGGGCTCGGCGAGATCATCAACTGCTTGGGGCAGATCCATTCTGTAGTTTATCCCCTACTCGAGCACCTCGCCGTCGAGGGAGGGCGCCGACGAGCTGCCCAGGTCGGCCGCGGGCGCGTCCCCCGCCTGCGTGCTGGGCGTCGCCGCCCACTGCGGGCAGCCCTCGGGCCCAGCGGCGCTCTGCGCCGACGCCTCGCCGTCGAGGGACGGCGCCGACGAGCTGCCCAGGTCGGCCGCGGGCGTGTCCCCCGCCTGAGTGCTGGGCGTCGCCGCCCACTGCGGGCAGCCCTCGGCCCTCGCCTCTGGCGGCTCGTCGAGGGCGAGGCCTCCGCCCCGCCGCCCCGCCGGGGCGGGGCCCTGCGGGCCCTCGCCGGGCCGCTCCGCGGCGGCCTCGGGCCGCGCCGCCGCGGGCTCGGGCTCGGGCGGAGGCGCGGGCGCCGCAGGGCTGCAGGAACCGTGCGCGGAGCCGCCCGCGAGCCCCGCCTCCCGCACGGCATGCCCGCGGAACGCCGCCTGGATCGCGATCGCCGCGGCCGCCGCGGCCTCGCGCCGCTCCGCGCAGCCTGCCTCCGCCCCGCGCGCGGCGCACGGTGCCCGCGCGGCGTGCCCGCGGAAGGCCGCCTGGATCACGGTCGCCGCGGCCTCCTGGGCTGCTGCGACCTGCGTGTCCTCCGACCCCCGCGCGGCACTCGCGCCCAGCGGGCGAGCCGCCTCCTCGCCATACAGCTCTGCGAGGCTGGGGGACGGCCCTGCACGGCCAGGCATGATCATGGGCCCACAGAGCACAGGGGCTCCGACCCCAGACGCCCGCAGTGCCGGAGGCGTGCCGAGGCCGAACGCAAGCCTCGGCGGCGTGGACACGGCTGCACTCTGGTCCAGCCGGGCTCCGACTGTGAGCGGCTCTGGCTGCGGAGCCGCCGCGGCCACCTCTGGCGCCGCAGGGGGCTCTCGCGCGGGGCGCGACTCCCGCACGGCATGCCCGCGGAACGCCGCCTGGATCACGGTCGCCGCGGCCTCCGCGGCCTCGCGCCGCTCCGCGCAGCCTGCCTCCGCCCCGCGCGCGGCGCACGGTGCCCGCGCGGCATGCCCGCGGAAGGCCGCCTGGATCTGAGTCGCCGCGGCCTCCTGGGCTGCTGCGACCTGCGTGTCCTCCAACGCTCGCGCGGCACTCGCGCCCAGCGGGCGAGCCGCCTCCTCGCCATACAGCTCTGCAAGGCTTGGGGACGGCCCTGCACGGCCAGGCATGATCATGGGCCCACAGAGCACAGGGGCTCCGACCCCAGACGCCCGCAGTGCCGGAGGCGCGCCGAGGCCGAACGCAAGCCTCGGCGGCGTGGACACGGCTGCACTCTGGTCCAGCCGGGCTCCGACTGTGAGCGGCTCTGGCTGCGGAGCCGCCGCGGCCACCTCTGGCGCCGCAGGGGGCTCTCGCGCGGGGCGCGACTCCCGCACGGCATGCCCGCGGAACGCCGCCTGGATCACGGTCGCCGCGGCCTCCGCGGCCTCGCGCCGCTCCGCGCAGCCTGCCTCCGCCCCGCGCGCGGCGCACGGTGCCCGCGCGGCATGCCCGCGGAAGGCCGCCTGGATCTGAGTCGCCGCGGCCTCCTGGGCTGCTGCGACCTGCGTGTCCTCCGACGCTCGCGCGGCACTCGCGCCCAGCGGGCGAGCCGCCTCCTCGCCATACAGCTCTGCAAGGCTGGGGGACGGCCCTGCACGGCCAGGCATGATCATGGGCCCACACAGCATGGAGGCTCCAACCCCAGACGCCCGCAGTGCCGGAGGCGTGCCGAGGCCGAACGCAAGCCTCGGCGGCGTGGACACGGCTGCACTCTGGTCCAGCCGGGCTCCGACTGTGAGCGGCTCTGGCTGCGGAGCCGCCGCGGCCGCCTCTGGCGCCGCAGGGGGCTCTCGCGCGGGGCGCGACTCCCGCACGGCATGCCCGCGGAACGCCGCCTGGATCGCGATCGCCGCGGCCTCCGCGGCCTCGCGCCGCTCCGCGCAGCCTGCCTCCGCCCCGCGCGCGGCGCACGGTGCCCGCGCGGCGTGCCCGCGGAAGGCCGCCTGGATCACGGTCGCCGCGGCCTCCTGGGCTGCTGCGACCTGCGTGTCCTCCAACGCTCGCGCGGCACTCGCGCCCAGCGGGCGAGCCGCCTCCTCGCCATACAGCTCTGCAAGGCTTGGGGACGGCCCTGCACGGCCAGGCATGATCATGGGCCCACAGAGCACAGGGGCTCCGACCCCAGACGCCCGCAGTGCCGGAGGCGTGCCGAGGCCGAACGCAAGCCTCGGCGGCGTGGACACGGCTGCACTCTGGTCCAGCCGGGCTCCGACTGTGAGCGGCTCTGGCTGCGGAGCCGCCGCGGCCACCTCTGGCGCCGCAGGGGGCTCTCGCGCGGGGCGCGACTCCCGCACGGCATGCCCGCGGAACGCCGCCTGGATCACGGTCGCCGCGGCCTCCGCGGCCTCGCGCCGCTCCGCGCAGCCTGCCTCCGCCCCGCGCGCGGCGCACGGTGCCCGCGCGGCATGCCCGCGGAAGGCCGCCTGGATCTGAGTCGCCGCGGCCTCCTGGGCTGCTGCGACCTGCGTGTCCTCCAACGCTCGCGCGGCACTCGCGCCCAGCGGGCGAGCCGCCTCCTCGCCATACAGCTCTGCAAGGCTTGGGGACGGCCCTGCACGGCCAGGCATGATCATGGGCCCACACAGCATGGAGGCTCCGACCCCAGACGCCCGCATTGCCGGAGGCGCGCCGAGGCCGAACGCAAGCCTCGGCGGCGTGGACAAGGCTGCACTCTGGTCCAGCCGGGCTCCCACTGTGAGCGGCTCTGGCTGCGGAGCCGCCGCGGCCACCTCTGGCGCCGCAGGGGGCTCTCGCGCGGGGCACGGTGCCCGCACGGCGTGCCCGCGGAAAGCCGCCTGGATCACGGTCGCCGCGGCCTCCTGGGCTGCTGCGACCTGCGTGTCCTCCGACGCTCGCGCGGCACTCGCGCCCAGCGGGCGAGCCGCCTCCTCGCCATACAGCTCTGCAAGGCTGGGGGACGGCCCTGCACGGCCAGGCATGATCATGGGCCCACACAGCATGGATGCTCCGACCCCAGACGCCCGCATTGCCGGAGGCGCGCCGAGGCCGAACGCAAGCCTCGGCGGCGTGGACAAGGCTGCACTCTGGTCCAGCCGGGCTCCCACTGTGAGCGGCTCTGGCTGCGGAGCCGCCGCGGCCACCTCTGGCGCCGCAGGGGGCTCTCGCGCGGGGCGCGACTCCCGCACGGCATGCCCGCGGAACGCCGCCTGGATCGCGGTCGCCGCGGCCTCGCGCCGCTCCGCGCAGCCTGCCTCCGCCCCGCGCGCGGCGCACGGTGCCCGCGCGGCATGCCCGCGGAAGGCCGCCTGGATCACGGTCGCCGCGGCCTCCTGAGCTGCTGCGACCTGCGTGTGCTCCGACGCTCGCGCGGCACTCGCGCCCAGCGGGCGAGCCGCCTCCTCGCCATACAGCTCTGCAAGGCTGGGGGACGGCCCTGCACGGCCAGGCATGATCATGGGCCCACACAGCATGGAGGCTCCGACCCCAGACGCCCGCAGTGCCGCAGGCGTGCCGAGGCCGAACGCAAGCCTCGGCGGCGTGGACAAGGCTGCACTCTGGTCCAGCCGGGCTCCGACTGTGAGCGGCTCTGGCTGCGGAGCCGCCGCGGCCACCTCTGGCGCCGCAGGGGTCTCTCGCGCGGGGCGCGACTCCCGCACGGCATGCCCGCGGAACGCCGCCTGGATCGCGGTCGCCGCGGCCTCCGCGGCCTCGCGCCGCGCCGCGCAGCCTGCCTCCGCCTCGCGCGCGGCGGACGGTGCCCGCGCGGCGTGCCCGCGGAAGGCCGCCTGGATCTGAGTCGCCGCGGCCTCCTGGGCGGGGACCGGAAGACGTGATGCCACTGCTTCCCGGACCTCGCCCAAGGCGCATTCTGGCCAGCATTCCGAGGCGAATCCAGCCGTGGCGGTCGCCGGCGCCCAGCGCTGGCGACTTGGGCGTCGTCGGCGGCGGCGGCGGCGCGCGCGCGCCCGGCGCAGGCGGCGCTGCTCTGGGGGGCGGCGGCGGCGCGAAGCCGCCGCGGCCCAGCGGACGCCGGGCCGCGACGACGACGACGACGACGACGACGACGACGACGACGACGACGACGACGACGACGACGACGACGACGACGACCAAGGCGAATCCAGCCGTACGAGCAGCGGTAACGATACATGGGTCACCAGACTTCGCGCACAGCGCCCCGCGATACGCGACGCGCGGTTCTCTTCGCCACTTCTTCGCGACGCCGCCCTGGAGACCAACGCCTCTCGGGCCCGGGCCGCGACCCGCGAAGCGGAGGAAAAGGGGGAGGAGGAGGAGGAGGAGGAGGAGGAGGAGGAGGAGGAGGAGGAGGAGGAGGAGGAGGAGGAGGAGGAGGAGGAGGAGGAGAAGGAGGAGGAGGAGGACTCCAGGAGGAGGAGGAGGAGGAGGAGGAGGAGGAGGAAGAGGAGGAGGAGGAGGAACTCTGGAACTCTGTGACGGCTCATCGTCAGCCGAACTGTAAATAGATCACAAAACCCCATCATTCTTTGTAGAAGGAGAATAGCCCCCACCCCGTGGGAATAGCCTGCCGCAGCGCCCGTCGGAAGCGGGCAGCCGCGCGCCTTGCCTCGAACTCCGCACGGAGCTCGGGGGTGATACGCTGCCCCGCCGCGTTATAGTGATGCGCAATGGTGCGTAGTCGCATCGCCCCCCGGATCCCCTCCCGCTTTTGCTTGGGCATTGCGACCCACGCTCCGAAAACAACCTGCGCGGCACAATGCGGCGCACGCCTTGCCAGAGCCCGCGCGCGCGAGCGGATCAGCTTCCTCAATTCAAAGAGCTGGAGAGTGCGCTCGCTTATCCACGACGCTCTCGAGTGGGCTCTGAGGCCTGTAGGTTGGCGACAGCGAAGTCCTTCATTAAGGCGTCCGTCTGGGCACATTGTGCCGTCGAATTGGTCGTTCAGGAGGGGCCTGAAACTGTCGGGCAATCTCTCGAAACCTCGCGCGCATCTCGGGGCCGCGAGCCCTTCTGGGAGTTCACTTTGACACCGGCGCACTTATATCGGGGTCTGTTCTGACCTCCAGGGTGTGCTTACCTCCGAGGTCGGCTACTGAGCGGTCTGCAACTGCATTGGCCCGATCAATGACGGTGTCGACACAAGCGCACTGCGCATCGTGAAACCAGCCTAACGGCACCACCACATAGTCGATCCGCTTGCGCGCTTTCTCATCAGAGCTCGTCCACGCGTAGGAGGGGGCCCCTGGAGGCGAGGGCGGGAAGGTAGAGTCGCCGCCCACCACTCGCGAACACGGACAAGTTCAGACTCGCGACGAGCAGCATGCGGGGCACGCATGGCAATGAGCAGTAGATGCACGCCCGGCACGCTCAGGCGTGCGCAGAGGCGGCTGGGGTCGCTGTGCACCGGCACTAAGTGTGTACGCTGCGCTCGTGCACCCATGATCGGCAGCGCGCGACTGACCCATATTGCCATTCCTGCCTCCCCCTGCAGCGCGCAGTGCGAGTAATGCTTCAGATAATCACCCTCGTCCGCGCCCCGGCAATCCCGACACAATGGCACCGCTGCGAAGCAAACTGCTTGGCAAGAGGCGTACTCCGTCCAGGCGCACGCAATCCGATCAGCCTGCGAATCCGAGAGGCACCAGGACCCCGAGCCTGCGCACCCTGCCGCGCACGCCGCGCCTTGTGATTTGTAGCGCAAGAACATTGGCACCCCCTAAGCGGAGGACCGAGTTCTGCATCGCCTTGGCTGGTTTTTGCCGGGGTCCCCAGGGGTAGCGCGCTCGGTGGAGACTTGTCGGGGGCCTCCGTGAAGCCTCTACGGACGTCGCCAATCACAGTGGGGCCCTGGGAGACCTCGGGAACCAGCGTAGCACCTTCTGGAAGCACCCTCAGGAAATCCTCGGATTTCGGCCGCAGTTCGCCGAAGCCGTCAAACACCATCCAGACCCATGCAAACGCCCGCGAGTCCTCAAACAGACGACGAAACGGCATGTCTGTCATATCTGGCAAGAACCCCATCCCAGAAAACATGGACAGGGTGTCAACCAGGTCATTGTATCCTTCCCCCTGGTGGCTGCGCACATGTCCCCCAACAATGCGGCAGGTGTCCTGGAGAGCCTGGGCGGCAGCTCGATGTGTGCAAGCCCGGACTGACGAGCATCAAAGCGGCTCGCGCCCGTGAGAGCGCCGAGTGCACGCATAGAGTCAGGGCGAATCACCGCTGGGCATCGAAATTGGCTCTGTGCTAACCATGACAAGGCCCGCGCCATGGCCAGCACCTCTGCTGCATCAGAGTAAGATTCTTGAGGGGAGAGTGCAAGAATATCCTCATCCAAGACATGCGAGATATATCCCATCACGGCTCTGTCCCCAGACGCGCGCTCGCACAGCACCACGCGCCCACGCGCTGGTAGGACAGGTATGTGTGCCTTGCTGTTGCCTCCACTTCCTACCGGTGTAGAGTAGGAGACGCCGAGGCGGGGATGCGGGGGAGAATGGCGCAGAATGCTGCAGCACCCGCACTGTATTAGCCTCAAGATATTATGCCAATATTTCGGGCAGAAATAAATTCAAACTCGAAATCCAAGGCCGAAGAAATCGCGGCCCGCCGAATGGACATCATGAAGCGGAAACGCTCTGGCATCCTTTTGGCATCCAAAGCGTCGCTCAGCCCGGCGGCCCCCCCGTCCGGGCTCCGCCCAAAGGGGGATCCTGTCTGCGGGCGGGGCTCTAGCTCGTTGGGCGACTCCTCCTCGCGTTGCGCGCCACCCGCTCCGCAACGTCCCCGTGCGGGGAGCGTTCGCCATCGCGTGCGTCGCGTCCGCCGTCGCCTCGCGCGTCGGCAGCCTTGGCGTCCACAGCGGCTGCCCTCCCTGGCTTTGCCGCAGCCGCCGCGGGTGGGATCCCGAAGCCAGCTGCACCTGCCGCGGGGGCTGCTGGCAGCACCGCCGCCGCCTGCGGGTGCCCTGGCGGCGCCATCGCACCAGGGGCAAGGCCTGCGAAGCTGACCTGAGGCTGGGGGATGGGTCCTGCCGCCGCTGTGGCCAAGCGCGCTGCCTTCATCGCCTGCGGATTGGCCGTCGTCATGGCCGTCATCAGGAGCCTCATCTGACGAGGTCTACCATCTGCTGCCGCTGCTGCTGCTGCTGCTGCTGCATGGAGTACATGCCCATCGCATCTACTGATGGTGGAGCTGGAGGCGGGGGCGGGGGCGGAGTCACGCCCTGCATGGCCGCAGCCGCTGTCGCCGCTCCCTGCGCCTCGAGGCGACTGGCGGCCTCCCTGGCCTCCTCGGTTTCCCTCTTCTGCTGCTCCAGCTGCGCCAGTGACATTCCTTCATCACGCGGATGTCCTCCTTGAGGGCGTCCACGTCCAACTTCGCATTTTCCGCCTGGGCCACGTACTTGATGAGCTCCTTCTGGCTCTTGTTGAACCGCTTTTCGGCTCGCGAGAGGGCGTCCGACTGCTTAATGTGATGGGCATCGAAATCATTGGCACTGTAGGGCATCGTGAGCGTCACGGCAAACTCCTGCTCGTACTCGCTGGTGTCCTCGTTTGCGTCGTTCTTGTCCAGCAGCATGGGGTTCAGCGCCTCGATCCTCGAGAGGGCCTTGTCCTGAATAGGTGGCCACGGCTTCGGCGTCGGAGCCGGGAGGTGGAGGAGCCCGCCAATGCTTGTGCGCCATCGCCACCAGCGGGAGGGCAGGCCTGATGTGCAGGATATCCTTGGCCTGCCGATCCTCTGAGGAAGCTGTTCCTGGGGCAGCCTGCGAGGTGCCCGTGGGATGCGGCTCCTGCAACGCCTGCGTCTGCTGCTGCAGGCCCCCCGTGGCCCCAGAGGGGGCGTCCGCCAGCATCAGGCCGCCACTCGCGCCTCCACCACGACCGCCACCACGGCACCACGACCACCACCGCGGCCCTCCTCGACCCTTCCCAGCGTCTACAGACCGGTTGCGCTGCTTTGCGCACGGCGCTCCCCGCGAGGCCGAGGAAGTGCGCTTCGGCTTCGGTGTGGCACACTCTCGGCACGTGGTGCGGTCTCCCCAATTGTGAGTAGAGCACTCCCTGCACGACCACGAAAAGGACATGGTACCTTGCTGTCTGCTGTGATGGCGCCGTAGCAGCTGCCGAGCCGCCACCAGGCGCACTTCGGCGCGGGCACCCCCGCGCTCTGCGCGAGCGCGGCAGCGCCAGGCGGGCTTGCCGCGCCGACCTTGGTGAGCACGGCCTCCGCGCGGCAGCACAATGGCGGCAGCTGTTGGAAGCGCGTTTAGCAGCAGTCCCGTGTGAAAGATCGCAACCTCCTGGAGGCTGCCCCCGGATCCCTCGAGCCGGGACGGAAGCTAGGAGGAGGAGGAGGAGGAGGAGGAGGAGGAGGAGGAGGAGGAGGAGGAGGAGGAGGAGGAGAGCAGGAGGAGGGGAGGAGGAGGAGGAGGAGGAGGAGGAGGAGGAGGAGGAGGAGATGAGGAGGAGGAGGGAGGAGGAGGAGGAGGAGGAAGGAGGAGGAGGAGGAGGAGGGAGGAGGCAGGAGGAGGAGGAGGAGAGAGGAGGAGGAGGAGGAGAGGAGGAGGCAGGAGAGGAGGAGGGAGCAGGAGAAGGAGGAGGTGGAGGATGAGAGAGGCAGGAGGGGGGAGGAGGGGGAAGAGGAGGAGGCGGAGGAAGGGGAGGAGAGGAGGAGGAGGAGGAGGAGGAGTGGGAGAGGAGGAGAGGAGGGGAGGAGGAGGAGGGTAGGAGGAGGAGCAGGAGGAGGGGGAGGAGGGAGGAGCAGGAGGAGGAGGAGCGAGGGAGGGAGGAGGAGGAGGAGGAGGAGGAGGAGGAGGAGGAGGCGGATAGGAGGAGGAAGCGGAGGAGGAGGAGGAGGAGGAGGAGGAGGAGGAGGAGGAGGAGGAGTACCTTCGCGCCCTCGCGGGTGACAGCCTGGGCCACGGGGAAGCTCCCCGAGAGGCCCCCCGGTCTGGGCCCGAGGAGCGGCCCAGGGACCGACTTTCGTCCTCCGAAAGCCTGCGCTGCCGCGGCCTCCGCGGGCGAGCCGGCGGCCTGAATGGGGGACGACGGCTGGGGGGGGGGGAGGGGAGAAACGTGGACTTCTCGGGCCCGGGTCCCCCTTGGAGCCCTACAAAGGACCCCTTAAGGGGCCCTACAAGGGCCCCTTTGTCTGCAGCCCTCGCTGCCCCCCCGACGACGACGACGACGACGACGACGACGACGACGACGACGACGACGACGACGACGACGACGACGACGACGACGACGACGACGACGACGTACCTCGCGAGGCCCAACGGCCTCTGCAGCGGCGCGCGCCGGCGCGGCCTCCGCGCCCCCCGCCGCGGCACGCTCGGGCCGCGGCGGCAGGGCTGCTCCAGCGCCGCTCGGCGACTGCGGCCGCGCCGGCGCGCTGCGCAGGCTCGCGGACCGGGCCTCCGGCAGCCGCTTGTTGGGCGCTGGCGTGTGCGGCCTGGGCTCGGCGGTGGAGGAGGAGGAGGAGGAGGAGGAGGAGGAGGAGGAGGAGGAGGACGAGGAGGAGGAGGAGGAGGAGGAGGGAGGAGGAGGAGGAGGAGGAGGAGGAGGAGGAGGAGGAGGAGGAGAAGGAGGAGGAGCAGAAGCAGAAGGTGAAGGTGAAGGAGAAGGAGGAGGAGGAGGAGGAGGAGCAGCCTGAGCTCGGCGGTGGAGGCCACGGAGGGGCGGCGCTCGGCGCCACCGCCGAGGCCCTCGGCCTCGGACAGGGCCCCGCCCTTCGCCCACGGCACCGGCTCGGCGGTGAAGCTGGCGCCCGTGGGCGAGCCGGCCGCGTAGAGCTGCGGCCGCGCGATGTCCCCTGGCGCGGGGGGACAGAGCGATGCCGATACCCTACAGTCGACAGGAACCCCCAGGCCGCCTCCAAGAGATCCTGGCGTCGCTATAGCCGAAAGCATAAACTTTCGGAATTCCGCGCGGACTTCTTGGATCGGCGCTCGGGTCACCGTTGGCGGCGCCTCCGGCACCGGAGGAGGAGGAGGAGGGGGAGGAGGACTTCTTGTTCTCGGGCTACTGGCACAGCGCGGATTGCTCCGTCTCGGACCACCGCGACGCGCCGAGGACGCCAATCGCTGGATGCTGGCCGATTCTGGGCCAACGGCGGGGTTCAGACTTATAACGCCCGCGCCAGGCTTGCCGCCGCGTCGACACGACACGAACCTACCGCACCGCGACCCCCCAGACCACTCCTAGGGTGCGTCCTGACTGTGAGTCCGAAGCGAATCCGAATGTGGCGACGAGAGCCTACCAGGAGGCCCCAAGAGGCGAACTCGAGGGAAGGGTATCCGCTCAGATCCGATCGCGAAAAAATGCGAACCACATCGCGAGAAATCTCGACTGGAGCCCTAGACAGGCCAAGAGTGCTCCAAGAGGCCCCCGAGACGGTTCAAAAGGGCCCCCGATCGACAAACTATCGGTGCACAACGCCTTCACGCTGTCCAGACTGCCCACCAGGTCGGGCGTTCTCGCCTTTTCTGCTCCCCGCCGCTCCAAGACGGCCCAAGAGGCCCCCAAGATCGCCCCAAGACGGCCCAAGAGGCCTGCAAGAGGGCCCCCACACAGCCCAAGAGGACCCCAAAACACCCCACAATGCCTCCAAGACGGCCTAAGAGGCTCCCAAGACGGCTCCAAGAGCGAGCCCAGACGGGGGACCCCCTCAAATCTGTTGCAGAAGGGAAAAAAACAACAGCACGGGGCGCAAATTAATGGAGGCGATATCTTTTTTAGAATTTCCGCGGGGGGGACCCCCACGAGGGGGCAGCGGACTTGGCAGTGGTCGTTCCTCGGCTGTCATTCGGCGCCACCGTCGGTCCCGTTCGAACGAAGAGAAGGGGGCGACAAATCGGGAGGCAGCCAGGGCTGCCGAAAGGAGGCCCCTCAGGGCCCCTAAAGTCGGGGTGGATTGAAGAGGACTCGCGAGAGGACACAAGACCCTTCCGAGGACCACATTGCCATAGGAACGCAGGAGGCACGGGCCGCGAGACACAGGACACAAAGGCACCCTTGATCTGGCAGGGCCGACCTGTTAATCCGGGCCGACTGTAAAGGGGCCCTCCAGGGCCCCCAAAGAAGTCCTCCAGGGCCCCCAGAGGGCACCTTTCTCCCCCCCATTAATCGCCCCCCGCTAACTCGCGCCCAACAACAGCAATTATCCCGGCAAAGCAACCTAACAGCGATGTGTAGAAGCATATCTGAAAGCATTCCCCTTACGATTCAGATGAAAATCCAGTTGTCGAATTCTGCTGTTCTCGCAGTCGTAGTCGCATTCGCGATGACAGTCGCAGCGGCAACGGCAGTCGCAGTCACAGCCTCAGCCTCAGCCTGCCTCCTCCTCCTCCTCCTCCTCTTTCTCCTGCTCCTCCTCCTTCTCCTCCTCCTCTTCCTCCTGCTCGTCCTCGTTCTCGTCCTCCTCGTCTTGCTCGTCCTCCTCCTCCTGGTGCTCTCTCCTCCTCCTCCTCCTCCTCCTCCTCCTCGTCCTCCTCCTGGTGGTCCTCGTTCTCCTCCTCCTGGTGCTCTCCCCCCCCCTCCTCCTCCTCGTCCTCCTCCTCCTCCTCGTCCTCCTCCTCCTCCTCTTCCTCCTCCTCCTCCTCCTCCTCCTCCTCCTCCTCCTGGTAGTCCTCCCCCTCCCCTCCTCCTCCTCCTCCTCCTCCTCCTCCTCTTCCTGGTCGTCCTCGTTCTCGTCCTCCTCGTCTTGTTCGTCCTCCTCCTCCTGGTGTTCTCTCCTCCTCCTCCTCCTCCTCCTCCTCCTCCTCCTCCTCCTCCTCCTCCTGGTGGTCCCTCGTTCTCCTCCTTCGCTGGTTACTCTCCCACCCATCCTTCCCTCCTCCCTCCTCCGTCCTGTCCTCCTCCTCATCCTCCTACTCCTAACTTCTCCTCCTCCTCCTCCTCTTCCTCACCTCCTCCTTCCTCTCCTCCTCTTCTCCTCCTCCTCCTAGGTCTCCTCCCCCTCCCCTCCTCCTCCTCCTCCTCCTCCTCCTCCTCCTCTTCCTGGTCGTCCTCCTCCTCCTGGTCGTCCTCCTCCTCCTGCTCGTCCTCCTCCTCCTCCTGCTCGTCTTTCTTCTCCTGCTCCTCCTGCTCCTCGTCCTGCTCCTGCTCGTCCTCGTCCTCCTGGTCTTGCTCGTCCTCCTCCTCGTCGTGCTCTTGCCCCTGCTGAAAATGTGGCCCAGGAATGAGGTCTGGGAAGTCGAAGAGCACGAAGTTGCCTACAGTTGGCTACGGGCATTCAAAATGTGGCCCGGGAATGGAGTTCTGGGAACTCGAAGAGCACGAAGTGGCCTACAGTTGGCTCCGGGCATTCAAAATGTGGCCCGGGAATGGAGTTCTGGGAACTCGAAGAGCACGAAGTGGCCTACAGTTGGCTCCGGGCATTCAAAATGTGGCCCGGGAATGGAGTTCTGGGAAATAGAACAGCACGAAGTGGCCTACAGTTGGCTCCGGGCATCCAAAATGTGGCCCGGGAATGGCGTTCTGGGAACTCGAAGAGCACGAAGTGTGTGACTGTTGCATCCGGTTATTCTAAAGGTGGCCCGGGAATGGCGTTCTGGGATCTCGAAGAGCACGAAGTGTGTGACTGTTGCATCCGGGTATTCAGAATGAGCCTGGGAATGGAGTTCTGGGAAGTCGAAGAGCACGAAGTGCGTGTGTGACTGTTGGTGAAAACGAGCGGGCACAGGCCCGCCCGGCAACTCCAACACAGCACGGACCCCCCTGTGGAGTGATCTGTGACCTCTTTTGAGCCCACTAGAATACCTCTCAGTCTTCGCTGTTAGGTAAAAACACGATGACGACGACCACGACGACGACGACGACGACGACGACGACGACGACGACGACGACGACGACGACGACGACGACGACGACGACGACGACGACAACGAGAAGCGCCGGCGGCGCGCCCCGGAGGTTCGCGCGGAGTTCTCGGCTCGGCGCTCCGCGCCCCCCTCCCTGGCGCGGGGGGCGCGCCAAGCTCGGCGCCGCAGGCGCCGCCTGTGGTGACCCGGGCGCCGAGCCAAGAAGTCCGCGCGGAGCTCCGACAGTTTTTTTTTGTTTTTTTCTGCAGCGCAGTATTGTGAAGAGGGGGGGAAGAGGGAAGGTCAGAGAACTCGCCAAGCAACGCATCACTCCAGTCCGACTGCCAATCACACGCAGCCTCACGGAACTCCAAAAGTTTATGCTTTCGGTTATTGCGACGCCAAGGTCTCGTGGAGGTGGCCTGGGGGTCTGAGCCGGCAAGTCGGCCAGGAAAGGGGGCAGACCCGCTCCAAAGCTCACCCGGCCGACTCCAACGCAGGACCCATGGGGCCCATCTGGAGGGAGAGAACCTCTCGGGCGCGCCGAAGAACCCAGGGGGCGGAAGAAAACAAAACCCCAGGCGAGGGGTTCGAGGACCGGGACCACCCCCCGCCTCAAATTTCGAAGGGGAATGAACTCTCAGCCGCGGGAGTGCTCGCGCGTGCGGTTCCACCACTCCAGGCGCAGCCAGGAGGAAAGCGCGAGAGCCCAGATTGCAAATGCAACGCAGCAAGTACTCTAGAAGTAGTTGTACTACAATTGTGCGAGTGCCTGCGCTGAAATAGCTTGTTTCACTGTGGTATGACTTGATCATGCACTTGCAGATGAGATATCAGCTGCACGCTAGTACGCGCTCGTACCAGCTGTAGTCAAGTGCTGGTTATTGTTATCGGAAGTCAATGGCAAGGCGCGCGCGGAAGAAGGGAAGATATCCACGCGCCGCCAAGGATCCAAAGTCTAACGGGTCGCCGCGAAGAGGGGCCCCACGTGGAAGGAAGAAACAGACATCTGGCTGAGGGAAGGTGATTCTGGACCTGCAATATGGGAACAACAAGTCACATAAACATAAAAACTCGGAAGTCCGCACAGATTTCTCGGATCGGCGCTGGGCCCCCCGGCGGCGCCTCCAGCGCCGCCCCTTTCGCGCTCCGCGCGCCAGGGAGGGGGGTCCAGCGCCGATCCGAGAAATCCGCGCGGACCTCCGAGTTTTTATGTTTATGTAACTTTTCGTTCCCCTATGCAAGGCACAATCCTCGAGCAGGGTCGGAATGCAACCGAGACGGTCCTGGGCCGCAGCATGATCTGCACTTCGGACGCAGCACGTTCGAACGGGCCACCTTGGAATGTGAACCCCGTGACCGACCTGGATCTCAAGATCTTAAAGAGCGAGCCTGGTGATCCCTCAGAAAGGATTTTGGTCCGTGGACCTCTCCTGGGGTCTACCTGGCGCAAATGTTCGCCCCAGGTCCGCTTCTGACGGTGCCGGGGACCCAGACAGGCCGAACACAAACAAAACATTCTCCTCGAACCCAGGACCTCGGACCTCGTCCACTTCCTCCCTGCTGGCCGGCCAGAACCAATGCTGGGCCAGCTCAGACCCCCCGCCCGCTCGAAAGGATCAAGTGGTCATTCACTTGCGCTTTTCCTGTCGGGCGACGAAATCTGTACAGAGCCACTGTCCCCTGGCCGGGCCCTTCCTGGGCCCAGGAGCTGTGTATATGCCTTGCTGGCCAAGCCATGGGGGCGCGGCGTATACACCGCTGCTGAGGGCTGGGGGGACAGATCTGCAGAACATCCCAAACGGACGCCAACGGCCGCAACCAACCCGTTCGGTCAAGCTGAAGCTGATGCACCACACCCAGCGTCAAGCCAAAACTTTGGACAGATTGCGAAGCGAAGGGTTGGATTTTGTATTTCTTCGTCGGCTTCACAGGCGAGGCGTTTGACCACCTTGGCGTCCCTTCTTCGGTGGTTCTGCAGAGGAAGCGCTCTCCGACCCTCGGCCCTGCTCGACCAACTGCTGGGTTCAGGATGGGTCTGGCCAGGGAGCAGCACAGCGTGCTGCTCTCTTAACTTATGTGAGCTATGTATACATATGTGTGAGCAGCACATGAGGACGACGAAATCTTTACATATGCCACATACGTGCGTATAGACTTCGTCGTCCCATTCCTTCCCTGGCGGCGGGCCCTGGATGGAGTCGCGCTCGCCGCCGGAGCAGCAGAACTCGGGCGCTGCCGCGCACAGAGCGGAGCCCATGCTGCTGGCGCCTCGCTCCGGGCGGCGCCGCGGGGGAGCCCCCCCCCACACCCCCACACCGCCCTGTCGTCGTGAGAGGACTGGGTCGCCTGACTCCGCGCATCGCGCCCCGCGATGCGCGAGGCTACCTTCGCGACCTCGCGACGGCCCCCGGGGAAAGGGCGGCGGCTCCGGCCCAGACCGCGACGCGCGACCCTCTTCGCGCCCCCCCACGGGTGACCCGGAGGCACCACGACGGGAGGCTTTGGGTCGTCCACGGCCTCGGGAGGGGGGCCCTCCCATGGTCCCGGGGCTGTCGCAGATTACCAGCCTGGAACATATCCCTATCCCTATGTTGGGCATCGCCTCATCACGATGGCGATCTTAGGGATCTCCTCAGTTTCTGAGGGTGTATCCCTAAGATTGTCATCTCCTTCTGGCGTGTCAACCTTAGGGACAGGGACATGTTCCAGGCTGGTAAGCAGAGCGGCCCAGCATGGGAGGAGGAGGAGGAGGAGGAGGAGGAGGAGGAGGAGGGTGAGGAGGAGGAGGAGGAAGGAAGAGGAGGAGGAGGAGGAGGAGGAGGAGGAGGAGGGGGAGGGGGAGGGGGTCCCGACCTCGGGGGGTCGACGTGTGGAGAAAACCACGACGTCCGTTTTCTCTGGGAGTGGGTCGGGCCGCCGCCCCCTCCAGGGAGCGGCCCCGGAGCCTCCCCGCCCCCACTGCCAGAGGGAGCAAGCGGTGACTCCCACGGACGCCCCAAAAACGCCCCAGACCTCCTTGATTCTCCCTCCTCCCTCCTCCTCCTCCTCCTCCTCCTCCTCCACCTTCTCCTCCTCTTCTCCTAGTCCTCTCCTCCTCTTGTCCTCCTCCTCTCCTCCTCCTCCTCCTCCTAGCCTCTCCTCCTGATCCCTCCTCCTACTCCTCCTCTCTCCTCCTCCTCGGCCCTCCTCTGATCCTCGGCCCTCCCTCCTCCAGACACCCGCCTGCTTGGAATGTTTCAACGCAGGGGTCCCGGAAGTCCGGCCATTTCCCCAGGGCCGCTTCTCATCCCGCGTCGTATTTCCTTATCTGCACAAGGCCTTGGCGGCTTTGCGCCCAAGGGGGTGGGTGGGAGGGGGGAGGGCTTCTTAGAAAGCAGGCTGCTTCTCCTTCTTAGAAAGGCGCCGGCCTTACGTCTGTAGATGAGGCCCGCGCCTTCTAAGATAGCAGGGGTGCTTCTAAGAAGCCCTCCGCCCTCCCCCCACCCCCCTCTGCGCGTGGCTGAGGCCCGGCGAGGGACACCCCCGAGGCCGAAAGCGGCAAAGAAAAACAAACAGATCCTTCCGTCGTGCTTTCGCTCGCGATGCGAGCACGTCTGGGCTCCTCGACCCTCGACCTCCAGGCTAGACAAGCGCGTCCCACTGCTTGCAGAGCAACTGCTCGCAAATGGCCTGGATCCGCCGCGGGGGACCTACGGTAAATGACCTCGAGGCAAACAGCTGTGTTTTTTTCGGGCGCTTGCGAGTAGGCACGCTGCAAGTACTGGAGCGCGCCCAGTGACAGGCGGCAGTCCCGCCCCTGCCGCTGCCGCCTCGCTGCACCCTCGGCGGGCGGCGGCGCGCGCCGCGGGATGGCCACCCTGCGGCTCCCTCCGCCGACCGTCTCGCCGGCCTTTGGGCCCAAATGGCCACGCCCGACGCCCAGGCCCGCCGTCGCCGGGGGGGGCGGGCGGGAGCGGAGGCGGAGGAGGGGAAAGGAGGGGAGGAGGGGGCAGAGGCGGCGGCGGGGGCGGAGGCGGGGGGGGCGGAGGCGGGGAGGAGGAGGGGGGGCGGAAGCGGAGGAGGGGGGGCGGGCCGGAGGAGGGGCAGCAGCAGGGGGGGGGGGGGGGGGCGGGGGGGGGAAGCGGAGGAGGGGGGGCGGGGGGGCCAGGAGCAGAGGCGGAGGAGGAGGGGGGGGGGCAGAGGCGGCGGCGGGGGCGGAGGCGGGGGAGGAGGCGGGTGCGGAAGCGGATGCGAAGGCAAGGCGGAGGCGGATCCCGAGCGGGGGGGGGCTCTCTCTCCTCCGACCGAGAGGAGGAGTCACGGAGCCACGGATATCGCGACTATGTAGGCTGCCACGGAACCCCAAAGAGCACACTTGAAACGGGTTTTCCGCAGCGGCACGCTTGGCTCGCTCAGCTCTGCTACAGAGTTTGGGCCAGAAGCCCTGTTGAAACTCTATCTACGTGGTCTTGGCGACTGCGACTGGGATCACACTCCTTGGAAAACTCAGCTACCTGCTCAGCTGCCAAGCTCCCACAGGCAGCACAAAACCAAATCCCCAGCCCAGCGTGATGTTCAAGTGACTGTGTCTCATGAGCAGCACCCCCCCGACATGCACCTGCTGCCCCAGAATGGGGGGTCCCAGACCGCACCGCCCACCGGTGGAAGAGGGGGGAAGGCGGAGAGTTCGGCCAGGCCTGCTTCTACGCCTGACAGGTCTCGGGTGTGGCCAAGAGGGGGGTGTCCAAGAGGGGGGGGTGCAAGTCATGGCCGGCGGCATGTGCGCGGCCCTTGGGGAGGGGGGCCAGGGACGTAATGAAAAAAGAAGAGAGCCGCCCTGAAATCTGGGGAAACATCATGGCCCCCGCCATGATATCCCCCCCCCCCCTGGTCATCACCCCCCTCCTTGCCGCCCCCGAAGGTCGACCCCTCGCACCGATTCCAGTTGAGACCGGGGTATAATCGAGAGCTTCCTCCCCCTCCCCCGCCTCCTCCTCCTCCTCCTTCTCCTGCTCCTCCTCCTGCTCCTGCTCCTCCTCCTCCTCCTCCTCCTCCTCCTCCTCCTCCTCCTCCTCCTCCTCTTCCTCCTCCTCCTCCCCCTCCTTGCCCCTCCTCCTCCTCCTCCTCCTCGGCTTCTACTGCCTCGAGCGCGCGCCACGCAGTTCCCTGCTCTCACGAGATGCGCCGTGCGGCCAATCTGGCAGATGCCTGCACGAACGGTTGCATGCCGTCGGCCCCTCGTGGTCTCTCTCGGCTTCTATTGCCTCGAGCGCGCGCCACGCAGTTCCCTGCTCTCACGAGATACGCCGTGCGGCCAACCTGACAGATGCCTGCACGAACGGTTGCAGCGAGGCGAACACCAGATGCTGCTACATCTGCGCGGCGCTCGTCGGCCACAGCATCACCTAGGACGAGAGGGGGCTGGCGTTTTTTTCCCCAAGGATGTCGACAGCCCCCCGGTGAGAATGGGCGAACAACACTGAAACGGAGATCTGGGAGACGTTACCTCTTTACCTTTAAGCACTGTTCCGATCAGACGCCGCAGATCGGCATTTTCTCTTGCTGGGGCGGCGGGGCGACAAGCATACCAGCCCGGCCATACTGCAGCGCTGTCCGTGACAAACACCGCGTGCCCTTGGCCGCCACGAACCGCCACGTAAAGCGCACACAGCTCGCCTCTTGCATCCGTCTGGGTGGCTGCTGGGAGCCCTCCCCAAAAACTCCGATCTGCAACTCCATGTTGCATGTAAGACTCGTGTAGACTGCAAGACCGAGCCCCGCTCTCCGAATGGCTGCATCTCGGCTGTTTTCTCCACCGCTGGCATTTCCGAACACGGATGTGGGCGATTCTTTGGTACCAGCGGGAGAACACGAATGGGTGAAAGCCTCGATGCCACAGCAGGTCCAGTCTTCTGACATGGCGCCGGCACCTCCAGCCAAGGCGAAGGGATCAGACCACGCACCCAGAAACACTCTTCTGACTCTCGTCCCGCATGTCATGTGCTTGCGGCGCAAACTCGTCAGGAAGCTGATAAGCATCCTGCGGCCTGCTGCTTGAACACCCCCAGACTGTATGGAAATATGCTCCTCTGAATTCCTTGCACCGCGTGCACCACTCGGAAACACTCAGCTGCGATGCCTGATGCCTCCTCGCTCGTGGCCACGAGGCGCCAGTGGCTGAGGCCAAGAGAAGCCCCGCAAGCCTCTTGCCACCAGGGGCTGCCTCGAGCTGTCGGGGCGCCCCCCCGGGCCGCGCGCCCACCCGCGTCCTGGGAGCCGCGCCCTGGGAACGGCGCGGGCGCGGGCCCGGGGAGGGAGGAGGGGGAGGAGGAGGAGGAGGAGGAGGAGGAGGAGGAGGAGGAGGAGGAGGAGGAGGAGTGAGGAGGAGGAGGAGGAGGAGGAGGAGGAGGAGGAGGAGCATCAGGAGGAGAAGGAAGAGGAGGATGAGGAGGAGCATCAGCAGGAGGAGGAGGAGGAGGAGGAGGAAGAGGAGAAAGAGGAGGAGGAGAAAATACGCAAAGAACACACCTGGGACGCTCTGAAGACGCACCGCTTGCCTGGACCTCACCACGGTCTGGACCTTGGGCCGAGCCGGCCTCGTGCGGGCCCTGCGCGCTTGGAGCGGGATGCACCTGCAATGCTCTTGGGGCGCAGTATGGCCCGGACCTGGGGCGCACCGTCCTCAAGCGGGCAACTGGAGCCCACCATCCACGAGCGGGCCCGCTGGGGATGCAGCTGGGGCGGTGCTACGACGCACCATTGTCTGCGCGACGCCTCCGTCACTCCCGCGAAACACTTGAACATGAACAAGTCTGGGTTGGAGGCAGCATGTCGAGAGCCGGCCCACTCAAATCTGCGCACGCACATTGATGACGACGACGGCGACGACGCCGACGACGACGACGATTATGATGATGATGATGATGATGATGATGATGATGATGATGATGATGATGATGATGATGATGATGATAATGATCATGGTAAAGATGATGATGATGATGCTGATGCTGATGCTGATGTTGATGTTGATGATATTGATATTGGTGATGGTCCTGGTGATGGTAATGACAGTGATGCGAATGACGATGATAATGGTAATGGTAATGGTAATGGTGATGATGATGACGATGCTAATGATGATACTGCTGGTGATGATGATGGTGATGATGATGACGATGATGGTGATGGCGATGATGACGATGATGATGATGACCATGATGATGCTGATGATGATGGTACTGATGGAAATCCTGGTGATGATGGTGATGGTGATGATGACGACGACGATTGTGATGATAATGATGCTACTGATGCTGATACTGATGATATTGACGATAACGGTGGCGACGATGATGACGATGACGACGACGATGATGATAAAGATGCTGATCATGATGATGTTGATGATGATGGAGATGATGATAATGATGATGCGGATGAGGATGATGCTGATAAAAATGCTGATACCGAAAGGAAAAAGGTGATGATAGTGATGGTGATGGTGATGGTGGTGATGACGATTACAATGATGTTGGTACTGCGAATGGTGATGATGATGATGGTGATGATGATGACGACGATAACGATTATGATGATCATGATGATGACGATGACGATCACGATGTCGATTGCGATGATGCCAATGCTGGTGATGATGATGTTGTTGATGAGGATGGTGATGATGACGATGATGATGGAAACAATGATGATGATGATGGTGATGATGATGACGATGGTGATGATGGTCATGGTGATGATGGCGATGGTGGTGGTGATGATGATGATGATGACGATGGTGATGATGGTGATGGCGATGGTGATGATGAGAATGATGATGATGATGATGATGATGATGATGATGATGATGATGATGATGATGATGATGATGATGATGATGATGATGATGATGATGATGATGATGATGATGATGATGATGATGATGATGATGATGATGGCGGTGATGATGTGCGATGAGGAGGAGGAGGAGGAGGAGGAGGACGAGGAGGAGGAGGGGAGGAGACGAGGAGGAGGAGGAGGAGGACCGAAGCAGACCTGGCCTCTGGCGGCCAGGCCGCCCCGTGCGGGCGGCGCGGGCGGCGCCGCCGAGGAGGCGCCGCTCGTGCCCATGGCGGGGCCCCGCGCGGCGGCCCCGGCGCGCGCGCCCGCCCGCTGACGGGGGCGGCGCCCGCGCGCCGCGCGGAGGACAGTCGAGGGCGAACGAGGAGGAGGAGGGAGGAGGAGAGGGAGGAGGAGGAGGGAGGAGGAGGAGGAGGATGAGGAGGAGGAGGAGGAGGAGGAGGAGGAGGGCGGAGGAGGGCGGAGGAGGGCGGAGGAGGAGGAGGAGGAGGAGGAGGAAGGATGAGGAGGGGGAAGGAGGAGGAGGGGGAAGAGGGAGGAGGAGGACCAGTATAAACCCAAGAGTCGTCAACGATGTTGGAGTGAACCCTCCCTCCAAGCTTCCGCTTCGTAGGCCCCTACAACGGTGCATTTCCATTGATGGAACTGCCTCGTTGGAAAACACCGTTTGAAGACCCTAAAACATGCCAAAACATCGCTGTCGGGATTCCAACGCCACGGATCAACTTGATTGTTGCGTCTGGACGATCCTGAATCATGCCAGAACGCCATTCCTAGGATTCCAACAGAGAGAACCAATGCAACTGTTCCACCCGCATAGTCCTGAACCCTTCTAAAACATTATTTCTGGTACATTGATGATGGGAATCCGTGAAACTCTTGCAAGTTATGTGCACGAACGCGTGCGGCGCTAAGGCGAGAGCCACATTTGAAAAGGAGCATCCCTCAATCCGTGAAGCTCTTGCAAAACTTAAAACGGATGGGCGCCGCGCTAAGGCGAGAGCCACATTTTGAAAACGAACCGCCCAACCCGTGAAGCTCTTGCAATTTTGT